GGCTTACCCTTCTGCACACTCCTTGGTACTGATAGTTCTCCCAGAGGGGAGGGTGGATGCAGACCCCTAAAACCGAGGCACAAATACAATAGGAGAGCTTTCATTGCCCCCAGGTCCGAGGAAAGATGCGATTCCTCCCTCCTTCCTTCATCACACATTCTCTGACTGCCCACTACGTGGCAGACACTGCTAGATGAGATACAAGATGAGAATGTTAGATTCTGTCCACACACTGATCAGCCTGCGAGGGGGGGGTGCAGGGGGGGTCCAGAGGGCGGGGGAGCTGACAAAGGTAAACACAAACTGCTGTAAGGAATGATAAGTTTGAGTACAAAGTGTTCCCACTCTGTCAGCATCTGTTGCAGGTCCTAGGTAGAGATCTAGAACCAGATAGACACAAAAACTGTCACAAAAGAATCTAGAGGAAAGACAGTACTGATCTGCGTGGAGGTACGAGGGCTGAAAAATCTAGGCAACTCTTAGCCCCAGTGCCTCCTGGGGAACACAAAGGAAGAGACAGGTTCTTACTTTCAAAGTCTTAATAGGCTCTGAGAATCCACTAATGACAGGGCACTACTTTATCCTGCCCCACATCCTTGTCCTGTTTGGCTCTCTATGTGAAGATGACAATTGGCTGCAGAGAAGGGAGAAAACCCCATCTTAGGCTAAATCCCCACAGATGTGGAAGGGAAAGAATGTCAGGCTAGGAAGGAAATTAATGTGAAGAAAACCTCCTTACTATCTGTAAGAAGACTCAGGCTAACTGAACAGTTTAGGGGCTTTGTTTGTAAACATCACTATAATTGAAGTCCTATGCACACATCTGGGCTTCCAGAGCAACGATGCTCAGTCCTTTACAAGGTGCCATTGCCCTAGGCTTTGAAGAAATTCTTTTCCCACTTCACATTTAGGAAAACTACCTCCCACAGTCCTCTGCCCTTGCGACTTTGGGCTACAATTGTGCTTAGAAATCTGCTCTACCCGGCAAGGAGAAAAGAGAAACAGGAGAGGGAGGTGAGTCAGGACAGAGACCACCTCTGAACTGTCAGGCAAACAACCAGGACAGTGCTGGCCCATTTAGGTTGGGCTGGACCAACACTCTGGCTTCTATGTCCTGGTTGCTAACCAACTTTCAAAGTGGTTTAAGAAAAAAAAAATCAGAAGCACTCTATCCTATTCAGCCTATGGCCTCCAAAATGCATGCTGTACCTGCTGAAGGTAGGAAAAGAATTCCTAGAGTGAAAAATAAGTTTTAAGACTTCAGATGCAACTGAGGGGAGTTGAAGCATGGAGCAGGAGAGGAAATCAGGGGTTCTTCGCTAACTGCTTCCTAATTTTTGTGTTATGGGATATGGAGTAGGAACGGAGACAGTGTAGACTATGGTGGACTATGAGGAGAGGATGTTTCAAAGACTGAATATATGCCTAGCAGAAATATCAGCCTTTAAATTCTCTAGAGATAAGAGCCAGAGATGAGCAGACAAAGGAAAAAATAAGGGTGGGCAGTCCGGTAAAAGAACAGTCTGCAACCTGGAGAGAAGGTTCCAAGGCTCTCCAGGTCCAAATCTCTTTCCCTGCTTTTATGAATTGCAAAGGTGACAGGCATAGGTAGAAGTAGTAGAAGTTGGGCAGAGATGACATTATATGCCTCCTGCACTCACACCCCATTTGTCTAATACAACTGTTTGTTCACTTGATCAGAAGTTCCAAAGAATATAGGAAAGACCATGTTTCTGCCTGTCTCTCTTTTCAACCATCATCAAACTTCAGGTCCCAAATTCCTAGGAAACATATCCAAGCTTTCCATCCACATTCCTGCCCCAACTTGCCTTGCACCAAAACAGCCCTCCAGCCACCACCACCCAGAAGAAACTTGGCTTCCTCTTCCCATATAGATGGTGGCTCCAGAGCAGGTGTCTGGAGGCCCCTGTTTGGAGGCCTTAAAGATGGCTCAGGAGAGGAACCAGGTTGGTTGTTCAAGCTCTTTATGAAGAGGCTGCTCTCTCTCTCTGGAGACTGAGAACCACTTCCTTATACCTTCTATTCTCTCCGGTAGCTTTGAGTGAGGGTGGTGGTGTATTCCCCTGCAACCTCAGGGCAGAAGGCAGACAGGGAGACATTGACAAAAATGAAATCAGTCCCTACCATTCTAAAGCTCTTCTTCCAAGTTTTGGGCTCCAAATTAGACTGCTGAGCACTGCCACCTGTTTAGGGGTATTTGCCAGGATTCACAATACCACGTGGAGGGTAAAGGCTGAGCCAGTGTCACCATTGGAAGAATTGAATCCACACCGCCTGCTCAACTCTTATCAAACACCCGGATACCACAATAAAGCTGCTAAATAATTCAGCAGTCTTGATAGGGAAATACAGTTTTCTGATGAGCATATGCTCAGTCAAGTGAATGTCTTTAGGAGGAAGGTGATAGAGAATGGTCACTGTAATGAATACATTTGCTATGATTTAATGTATATAAATGCTAAAAGGGCAAAAACATGCTGATCCATTAATTGCATACAAAGCAGATAAAGAAAATGTGCTGCTTGCAGATACTAGGAGTTTCAAAAGTCTCTCTTGTATTTCATAATTTTTATTCCCGAAGAACCAGCCAGATTCCTTCCTGATAGTGCCCCCCTCTTCTAAAAGGATGAGCTAGGGATACAGTGAAATAATGCTTATTTTGAAGGCTTCTTTGTAGGAAAAACTTCTTTCCTAAATACAGAAACAGCCCTGGAAATTACATACAATTTATTGTAAGCCTTTGATTTAAAAAAATGATCAAAACTAAAATCTAGGTGGATGAGTGGAGAAATTCTAGAACTTTAATAATGTCTGATATTAAAACACATGTGCATCCACACATGAGTATTTTATAGTAGATGGAGCATTCAAATTCTTTCCATTTTTAATAAAGGGTTGGAAGGGATAGAACTACTTTTCAGGAACTATTGGCAACTTCAATATTTGATTTCTACATTAGTTATTTTTGTTCATCTCCTAAAGAAGTTTAATATGTATCATGTGTCCAGCAAAATAATTTTCCTTCTGGAGAAGAAGTTCACATGTATAACTGCTCGTAACAAATTCATATCAGTTCTGTGAAAAGGATTGAAGTATTTCATTGCTAGCTATCCCATACATTCAATCTATGTTATCTTTCCAACCACCAAATTAGAAAGCAGTATTATCTGTGGAAAATGAATCACAACTGAAAAGGACCAACTCTTGCTACATATTTAACAAGAATCTGACATTCACCAGGCCAGTTTTGCATGGACAGGAAGAGAAGAGAGTGTATGTTTTGGATCTCATGCCTAATTGAAGACCTGGAGCGCTCTGGTTTTTAGTTATAGGTTTGATTTCTGTTTCAAACTCTCTATAAACTTATCAGCAAATACCTCTTCAACTGTATCAGCTAAATCCACAGAATGCAAATTTGTATTTAATAACAGCAGAGAGTCACAGAGAAAAAAGCTTGTCTGGCATTAGCAAAATGGTTCAACTACAGTCAAGATAAAAATATATACATCCTTACAATCCTCCCAGTCTTTATCTGACTTTTGTGGGTCCATTCCACACCCCATCAGGCCTCCCCTCTGCTCATTGAAAACATCAAATACCACACCAATTATCTAAACATCAGATTTTCTATTTTTATTAAAAACTCACAAATTTATTCAACATGTTTTCTTTCATACAGTGAATGGTCTAATATGCACTGGAGGTCACACAAGCTTAGGTTTATTAGAACAATAAAAGACATATGAGAAATTTAATATATAAAGAAAAAAGTAGCAGCTGTTGACTGCATATTTGACCATAAAATTTAAATATTTTGGACTTTTATTTTAAAGACACAAAAATAAAACCTGTGTGGGTCTATATAAGTCATATTAACAATTCCATGAATGTTCAACAGGACTAAAAATTAGCAAAGATGTTTTTTTTAAACCTTGTAACACTTTTTTTTTTAATACTTTCTCAGGTTGCTGGTGCCAGGCACCTTTACAGTATTTGTGCTATAATTATTCTATTTGGCAACTGTCTGAATATCATGTTTTCTCTTTGCCTCGTGTAAACAACACCTTTTTTTACATACTAGCACAGTGAGCCGTAAGCCCTGCAAATCTGTCAGAACATCTACAGGAAAAGAAAAGGAACGATTTTGGTTGATTGCTCAAAACGTTTTGTTTTTGAACAAGAGGTTTCAAACAGGATAGAGTAGTAAAACACTGAACTCCTGAATTTAACATTATACGTAAACAGTTGACTGTTTTTTTTTTTTAGTTCAATAGTCTTTCTTTTTAACCTTTGTGTGTGAAAGTAGAATACTTTTCTTGTACAGCTGATGTTCAAGTCATTTTACCGAGAGGTCTGGCTGGAGACCAACCTGTGTGTGTGTGTGTGTGTGTGTGTGTGTGTGTGTGTGTGTGTGTGTAGCTTTGTGAAGGTAGAATAGTTGATACTGAGGGCTTTACATTTAGAATTTTGCAATTTTGGCAAAAACAGAAACCAAAAACTCAGATAGACAAAAAATATATATATATATAGTCCCACCTGATGCACAGCAGGTCGGTGTGTCTGAAGCTATAAGAGTTTGTTGTCGCTGTGGTGGATGAACTCTGAGACAACACTAACAAGAGATATCCCAGAGTTAGAAAACCCTCCAGGCTGTGCCCGGAGCGGCCTCCGACCACTTCACCACCCCGGCCCGGCTGCGCTGCCTCGAGGCCTCCCTCCCTAAGCAAGCGCCTGGCATCACCAATTGCTCTGCCCGCCTGCGGCCGGCGTAGACATCTTTAGGCCAGTCGCCGGCCAGGAGCACAGACCGTCGGAGTCCAGCCAGCGATCCGGGTCCGGGTGGGCAGTGAGGAAAGCTCTGCATTGCCCTTCGGGATGTCCAGTTTTGCAGCCAGGACACGGATCCCAGTCCCACCTCGAGTCGAATTTGGATCCTATTTTATGTCCCTGCCTCCCCGCGTCCCCCCCACCTTTCCCCCATCTGGTCTCTCCATACCGAGAATGGTCTTCCGAGACTGGAGAAAGTGGCGCGGGGGGAGGTTTGCTTTTTGTTTTTTTTTTCTTTTTTTTTTCTCTCTCGTTCTCTCTCTTTCTCTATTTTTCTTAAATAAAAGTTCGTTTCTGTACAATCACGAACTCTTCGGACCGTGGGAGAGACCCCGCTACCACACGGCCGCCTCGTTCATTTCAGGGGGGTGGGACAGGTGGTTCCCGTAGCTCCCCCCGCCGTTTACCGACAGCGATGAGAAGGGTGGGCTGGGCCCGAAGACCTCCGCCGACATGGAGTGCAGAGGCCCGGGCAGGCTGGGCTCGGGGCTGGGCGAGTCCCCAGGAGGATGCGCCAGGATGTCGGTGAACCGCTGCGCCTCGCTCGATGGGTGGTGGCCGGGCAGCGGGTGCTCCAGGCCGCCCAGGGGCGTTCCAGACGGCCCGGACGACGGTACGAAGGGTAGATCCACGGGCGTCTGCGCCTGCGAGGACGGGGGGCCTTGCGGGAAGAAGTCGTAGTTACCCCCGGGACCGTAGTACTCGCTCTGGTAATCTGCGGGATCAGCGAGGAAGAGGAAGGATCACGGAGGAGCCCAGGGCGGGCCAAGGCAGAAGGGGAGGAAGGAAGGGCAACTCCGGGGAACTGATTTTTGTTTTTCTGGGTTTTTTTTTGGGGGGGGGGCGGCCTCTGCGGTCCGGAGAGCAGGGAGGAGATTGCGCAAAACGGGGAAGCTGTTTCCCTACAGGCTCACCTTGCTTATTCCGGGTGGGGACTTTTGCCCCCTGAGTCTCCGCACCTCCCCAGATTTTCTTCCCCAGCCTTCTACGCCACCCTGTCTGCTCACTTTGCAAACAGAAAACACCCGCTTCCTGCGAAGCCGATCCGGGTCCGCTCGAACCCCACCACTCACCTCCGTAAAAGGAGAAGGGGCCGTTGGGGATGAGCTCGCCTGGTTCCAGGCGGTCCACCAGCGGCCGCATCCTGCGCGGACTTCGGAAGAAGGCGTGGCGCCGGGCGCCCAGCGCGCTCAGCTGCTTCATCCTGCGTTCCTTGGAGCGCCGGTTCTGGAACCAAACCTGAAGCGCACACACGTCGTGGGGTGAAGTCACGAGACCCCCCCCCAACACACACACACTCCCTAGCCTGAGTATGCAGTATGGGGCTCAACCCTTTGCCCCTCCACTGCTGCCCGCTCACTGACTTTAGAAGGGGCGGGCGGGGGCGGGGAAATAGAGAAGGGGTTCTGAGACCAGGCAAAAACAGACATTGAGCCTCGGGTGTTCAGGATTTCGGGACAGAGGGAACTTAATTGACCACCATGTCTGATGTAAGGCAAGAAGTAGCTGAGTTAGTTCAAACGAACTATCGCAGTTACAGCATTAAACCTTTCCAAAATAACGTTACACACATAGGAGACATTAAACCTCCAAAATGGTCTTTTACACACACACACATACACATACACACACACAGCTTCCTTTTCACGGTCTCTTGAAGTGCTCCCCCAAACCCACTGTGTGACCATGACAGAGACACAAAAAGCTTCCCACTAACACTGTTTTCCCTGAGGTGATGACACCCAAACTCACAATCTCTGTTTTATGCCCATGCAAATCTCCCCTGCCCAAAACATACTTGTTTATCCACAACCATCTTGCCAATGGTGGCAAACACACAACCCCGCATTCACAAACACAAGTTTGCACAGCCTCCCAGATACCTCCAAGCCTGCAGCCGAAGTGGACACGTCAGTACCCTTACACAGATACTCTCAGCCTTACCCTGAACTGTCCACCCACACCCCACACAGCCTCCAAGCACACTGACCCAACACCTAGCGGTAAGCCAGAGACCCCTGCTGCCTAATCACACACATTCTCACCTCCTCCAGACACAGCCCAGCTGCCTCCAGATGGCCTCTCCTCACCATCCCACTGGGGGCTGCGCCTAGACAGGGCTGACTCTCTACTGAACTACCTCCCCTTCAATCTAACATGCCCACCTCCTTTAGAGAGGAAGTTTTTGCTCTGGAGCTTTCCTAATGGGAGCAAGAGACCCACAAAGTTGGAGCTGAACACTTGGAAGGAGAGAGTGTTATGCAAAAGCAACTGATTGACCCCTGGAGATGAAACAACCTATTTTTATTTTATTTATTTTACTTTTTTTTTTTTGCCAGTCCTGGGGCTTGAACTCAAGGTCTGGGTGCTGTCCCTGAGCTTCTGTGCTAAAGGCTAATACTCTTACCACTTGAGCCACAGCTCCACTTCTCGCTTTTTGTGGTTCATTCAAGAGTCTCACATACTTTCCTGTCCGAGCTGGCTTTCAACCACAATGCTCAGATCTCGGCCTCCTGAGTAGCTAGAATTACAGGTGTGAGCTACTGGCGCCCAGCTCTCGCCATTCCTTAACAAGAGTGAGAGTAGACTAAGGTGTATGCATACAGAAGAGTCCTGCATTGTGGTGTTGGACAGTGTCCCTTCCTCCAACCTCCCGGCTTCTCCTGTTCCCTGGCCACTATCACTTCTGTTGGTCTGGGAAGAAGGGAGGTGGGTAGGATGCTTCAGGCATCCTGCGACCTTTCTCAGGTCCTTTGGAGTCATATCCCCACCTTCCACTCTCCCCCAGCCTCTTCAAATACATTCCCCTCCTAGGCACCACCTGGGTACTCTGAGTGACCCTGTGGGAGGGACAGAATGGCACGCCAGGGGCCTGACCTGGATGACCCGCATGTTGAGGCCAGTCTCCTGAGCCAGCTGCTCGCGGATGTGGCGTGTGGGCTTGGGCGTAGCAGCGAAGGCGGCCTTCAAAGTCTCCAGCTGCTTGGCTTTGATCGTGGTGCGAGGCCCCCTTCTCTTGGCGCCTAGGTTCTGATCATCATTCTCATTGCTACCACCTTCCTTGTCTGACACGTTGGCACTCTCCGAGTCCTTGGCGTCGTCCTGCGACGGGTCTTGAGAATCCGGAGACAAACTAGGGTCACTGCCGGTGGTGGCTGGTGAGAGGGGGAAAGGACAAGGTGAGCAACGGCCTTGGACGGCCTTCCCCAGAATCCCAGCCCCGATAGGCAGCTGGAAATCCGTGCCTCACCTGAGTGGAGGCTGTTTTCTTTGGCGACACTGCTGTTGCTTAGGTAATCCTCTTTGCAGACGAACTTGTTCTCATCTATGATGTAGAGCTCCTCGCCGGTGGAAAGCTGCTTGTTACACATCATGCAGGTGAAGCAGTTCAGGTGAAACACTTTGCTCCGCGCTCTCCGCACCAGATCGCTAGGGGAGATGCCTTGCGCGCAGCCCGCGCATTTGGTACCGAAACATCTGCACCAGTTAGGGTTTGGCGAAGGACAGGCGGAGGCAGGAGAGAATGAAAGAAGGAAGATTGCGGGAGAAAGAAACAAGTTGAGGAGGAAGGAGAGAGAGGGAGAGGGAGAGAACGGAGAGATTGATTATAGATCATATGCCGATTAACTAGGAGTGGAAGTAGGGAGGAGAGCGCAGGGCATCGGTGGGGAAAAAAAATGAGAGCAGGAAATACAATACTTCTAGAGTGAGGGGTCCAAGCCGTCCCCCAACCCCAGCTTCACGCCCAGGCTTCATCCCCAAGAGGGGAAAAAAGCATCGCGGGAAATGGTGACAAAGTGGCCAAGGGGATACTTAATCTTCGATTGGATTCGGAGAAGCCAAATTCTAATTAGAGCCCACTATAAATGCACTCAGCGCGCTAGTTTTTCCCCCTTTCCTGGCGTCGTCTTTTACTACAAAAAGACCTGCACAGGTTAGGGTTTAGCTTGGTCCCCTCGGGCCCACGGTAGGTAAACAAACACAGTGGCCGAGCCCGGGTAGTGTAACTGCGCTGCTACCACGTTCGTGCGCAAAGCCTAGCAGATTGGCGCTAGCGGGAGCCGCCGCGGGCAAAGCCGGCGTTCAGTGCCCTGCTGAGCTTTGTCACAAGTCAGGCCTCAGCAGACCCGCTGGAAGTGGGTATGACTCGCAGACATCTCCGGCTCTGATCTCGGTCGAGGTAACGACAGACCGCGGAGGCGACAATGTTTAGCATCACGTCTGCTCCACCGTTCGCGCAAACCTAAGCCACGCGGTGTCCGAGAACTGCATTGGAGACTGAGCGCCCTGGGCTCCTGAGCTAAGGGCCCCCCCCCCCGGTGGCTTCCAAACCCACCCTCCTGTTTGATCCATCACTACAAATGGAGAGAAAGCAGACATCAAGTCAGTCTAGTTCGCTGGGAGATTTCAAACCTTTACAGTAGAATTCGAATTCACATTCATTCCTGCTCTCTATTTACTTAGGTCTTGTGGAGGAGGTGGCCAAATAGCGAGATTAAGAACATACAATTAAAATGTTAAAGAGAGGAGTGAAGTAGAAACTTTCCCGGCTCTGTCATGAGCACCTTTCTCTTGGCAAGGAACCGGTGGCAGGGCAGGCCTGGTGGGACAGTGCCCGAGAGGGCTCTGGAGGGAAGCTGGTGCGCTTCGATGCCCCAGTCAGTATTGGGCCGAGGCCGGAAATGTATGCCAACCCTAGCAAGCGTGACAGCAAAGAAAAATCAGCAGCCTTTCACAAGCTATAGGGTAGCAGTTTGCCTAGCTTTATGCTTAAGGACCAAGTCAGTTTGGGGTAACTTGCTGGCTGTGTAGAACTGGCCCCTAAGGTCGAGCTTCTTTACTGCTGCTATTGGCATGTGCTGAGAGGGGGTTCCTCCACCCAAAAGGCTCAGTGTTCCCGCCAATACCTCTCAGAAGGAAAAGACAGTGACTGGGAAGAGCCCAGGCTTGAGAGCTCAACCTAGAGGGTGAGCAACCGGGGGTGGGAGGTGGGGGGTGTCCGGAAAATCAGTGGTTGGAGAGCTTGTTTGAAAGGGGGGGGGTAAAAAATGGGAGCCGGAGCTACAACTCTCCAGGTTGCCCAATCTCTTCCAAGTTTGAAGCGCCCCAGAACAGAGGCAGACTTAGATCCTTTCTTCCCAGGCACATGCACCCCCACTTTCCAGGCCACAAGTTCAGCCGCTTTCCCTTAGGCTCGCAGCAGGCTAGCTGGCCAAGAAGCAGGAGCCTGGGGGACTTGGCTGTCCTTTCCAGAGGTAGCTCCTCGTGCGTCTGCCAGTGGCCACGCTGACCTCTGATCCGAAGCTGGCTGAGAAAGGCCCTTGGGGAGGAAGCAGCAAGAGGTACGGGAGGAAAATACTCACCGGAAGAAATCGTTTTTACAGTAGAGCTTGCCTTCCCGGGAGAAGCACTTCTCGGTCAGGTTGCATTTACATTCACAGCACTGGACGCACTTGACATGCCAAGCCCTGTCCAGCACGTTCAAGAGGAAGCGGTCCAGGATGGGCCTTTTGCAGCCGGCACAGTGCACCATGGTCTTTGGTTTGGGTCGGGTGAGGCCCCGAAGAGACAGAGCCAAGTAGACAGAGCCAAGAGGGTTTACTCCCGAAGACGACCAGCCCGCAGCTCCCCAGCCCCTCCAAAGAGAGGAGACACACACCTCAGCCGTGCAAGCCAAAACCCGCACCAGGGGAAAAAAAAACAAAAACAATCAAAACGGGGAAAACCAGGCTGTGGAGAGGCCCGGGGCGCCTGGATGGACTGCGTAGCCCGGGAGTCCCCGGGGCGTGGGGCGGAGCAGCGCCACCGCAGCTCCCCAGGCGACGAAAAGGAGTCTCCGGCGGACTAGAAAGCCACTCTTCTGCCCGGAGCCCGCGGAAGAGTGAAGGTCACCGGGAACGCAGGCGGGAACGGAAATAAATAAATAAAACCGCGAAGGAGACGGAGAGGATAGACGCGGCGAGCTGGGGTTTTCGGAGGTGGAGGTGGGGTGGGGAGGGGAGCGCACTGCCGAGTTCTCTCTCTCTCTCTCTCTCTGGCTTGAGGTAGAGCTGTCAGGAGTCAAAGTGCAACTGCTTTTTGTCGGAGTATGAAGGCGGGTGTGTGCGTGCCAGGCTGCCCACTACCAGGGGTTCTCCCTCTTTAAAAAAAAAAGAAAGAAAGAAAAGGAAGAAAGAAAAAAAAACAAGTAGAGAAGCTTTGGATCCTAAACTACCGGCATGGTGCAAGCCGGTTGGGACGCGCTGGGGCTCCCGCCGCTGGGCCTGGGGGAGGGGGAGGGGACAGATCGAAGGGGGGAGGGAGGGAGGGAGGGAGGGAGGAGAGAGTGGGAGAGGATCTTGTTGATTGCAGTTGTTGCTTAGGTTTCTCCCCCTCTTTTTTGTTTTGTTTTTTTTTGTTTTTAGTTTGTTGTTGTTGTTTTGGAGAAGTGTTTGTGTGGGGGGGGGTCGAAAAACCACAAGTGATAACTTCGGGCGGATGCAATCAGGCGCACTCGCTCAGTCCCCACCGACCCAGCCCCGTCACCTCCGCCGGTGGCCTGCCAAGCGGCCTCGGTGTCCTCAGGGAGGCCCCCCTCCCTGCTCCGGGACTCCTTTGGGAAGTCAACGCCGTCTGGTTCTTCACCGCACCTGGTCGTGCATGGTGGCTCCGATCACAACTCCTGGCCGCCTTGGCGCGCAGCCCCGCATCGCTCGGCCCACGCTCCCGGCTGCCTGCGTCCAGTCGCACAGTCGCTCGACCTTCTTGTACTTTTCCTTTCCCCCTCTTTTTCTTTTCGTGGTGGTGGCCAATCTGGGTTTCCTTTCTCCGTCGCCTTCCTCTCTTGTTTGTTTTTTGTTTGGTTTTGTTTTGATTTTCCTTCCCCTTGTGCAAAGGGAAAAGTCGAAGGGGAGAGGGGACCGCTTGGAGAGCTTTCAAATAATGTCCTGGTGTAGCGGCTACCGTAGGCCAGCGGCTGGAGCAGTTCCGTGCGGGCTGCCGGCTTGGCCGTCCTTGGCCGCGGCTCCTGGCTGGCTTTTCTCCCCGGCGCTTGTCGTTCGATTCCCGGGTCTCTCGGCCCAGTCGGCCGCCCTGGCGCGTCTCTCCCCAGCTCCAGCGACTCGGTCACTGCTCCTGGCTGTTGGCTGAGCTCTGGAAGCCCCCTCGCCTTAATGCAGCGCCCGCCGACGTCACGGCGGCCTGTGACCAATCAGCGCCTCGCGGTCCCTCTGTAAACCATTCTGCATCCCCCGGCCGGGGAGAGTGCGGGGAGACCGCGTTTAGAGGATCAGTGGCGGCGGTACCCGAGGCCCCGCGCGGCGCGGGCGACTGGAGGCGAGGTGTCCCGGTCCCTTACTGCTCCGGTAAGCCTCTGTTTCGGTGGGAGGGACTGAAGGAAGGTGAGAGTAAGGCGCTGGCGGGGGCCAGAGTTCTTTCAGAGGGTAGTGACAATCCCGGACCAAGCCCAAGGTCTAAGATGGGGTGGGGGTGTGTGTGGGGAGGGGGAGATTGATGCCGGGTCCGGAAGCCGGAACGGCCCCAGCGCAGTTTTGGCTTTGCAATTCACCAGGTGTTAGGATCCTTCTCCGCCCTCCTGGCTTCTGAGGCCTGGAAGTTTGCCCCGGGCACAGTGCGAATCTTTGGAGAGGTAGGGGGCGCTTGGCAGCTAAATCTCCCTCCTCCGGTCCCTCCAGCTTTGCCTCCTCCCCTCCCCACCCTCCACCCCCACCCCCAATCCATCCAAAGTCCGCAGGGTCCAGGTTGTCAGCGAGTCCCGGGTGTCAGTCTCCCGCAGTGCGCTCTTGGAAAGTTGATCCCGGTGATTTCCTGGTGGGGGCGGGGGAGAGAGAAGGTGGGACGGGGAGAGAGACGTGTGTAGAGGAGCGCCTCGGGTGAGGAGTGACAACCCAGGCGAGAAGTTGTGAGAAACTGTGATCCGGAGACACTTTTTTTTTTTTTAACAAATAAAAACAAACGACTAGGCAGGGAGACCGTGGGGCCCCTGCATCGGGGTGAGGGGGTGGCCAAGGATGACGGTGGGAAGGGAGAAGGAGGAGAGAGTTCTCAGGAGTACCAAGCAGAGGGCACTGGTGGAGTGTCCGGCTTCCAGTCCTCCCCTTTTTCAGGCCTCGGGGCCGAGGACCAGCTTCCTCAGATACCAGCGACCAACACTTTCCAGAGCTCACTCCTTCTTCAAGAGCACCCGAATTCCGCACGAAGTCTAAACTCCGGACCACCGCCCACGGGGGATGGATTTGTTTAGGCCTGGGGGGGTCCAGATCCTGATCCTCAAAACATCAGCCTCCCCCCCCCCACCCCAGAGTCATTCTAGTTCCACGACGCACTCATCAGCCTCCACATTCTGATTCGACCTTGTTATAGACTGGGTTTAACCCAGATTTCTCCCCAAGTGGAGTCTGAGGTGGTAGGCGGTCCCACTTTTGCTCCTTATTTTGGGGGTGGGTGGGTGGGATGGGAGGGTGGGGTGTAGGTTTTAATTTAGAGGCGTGCTAGGAATGCGCATTTGGGTCTAATATGGTCACCGGCCAGCCACGTCTTCCTAGTTAGCCAGGTCTGGTAGTTTGGAATTGGTCTCTTTGGCGATGCGCGGGAAGTGGCAGAGAGGACAGCTTTGCAACCCTGTTAAGGGCCAGGGGCTAAGTTGGCGGGACCGTGCGCGCAAACGCAGTTGGGCGGGCAGGGAATCCAGCTGCGCTAACCGCGAACCCTCTTCGCGCGAACGGGGGAGGCGCGCGGCCGGCCGCGAAGATGGTTTGGTGCGCGCTCGGTGGGATTGTTAGGTGTTACTGTTCGGACAACTCCGAAGTTTCTGTCCCTGCCAGGACTGCTCTGCAATCCCGCCGGGATCTCGGGCAGCTACCATTCAAACAAGCCAAAGCACGCCCAACGTTCCTCCTTCCGGGACCTCAGGTTACCAAGCAGGGCCTTGCTTGTCTCACGCCTTCTTCCTTCCGCACCTCCTGACACTTACACACCTGAGCACAGACTCCCAGCTGCCCACCAGGGCAGAGCCGCCGAGCCGGGGAGGGGGGTGGGGTTGCTGATCGGCTCTCAGCTTGCAATGCGTCTGTCAGTCTTTTCCACGTCTGAGTTTGAGGTTAGTGCCAGGGATAGAGTAGGTGTTTCTTCTATCTAGCTCTGCAGGCTCCCGGCGGGCTTGGATTTGACTTCACATTTCCCCTGCGGACCCAGACACTTCCTGGAGCAAATCACCCTCTGCCCAGTGTTCTAACACCTTAGGAGTCCATCCGTGCAGCTGGAGGTGAGGTTCTCAGCCCCCCCCCTCCTTCACCCCCGGCCCAGCTTGCAGAGTAGGTGAAAAGCCGGGCGACGGAGGGCTGGTGCCGAGGAGCGATCTCCACGCCCCCCAGCCCACACCCTCCAGCTGTCTCAGTATTGGGGGCCTGAGCGATCCAACGGCCCCTTTCTGGAATCTATAGCGGCCTTAGTCCCAAGTGGCTCGCCCCTGCCCCAGCTGGGCTCCTTCTCATGCAAAACAGAGAGGCTGCAGAGTGAGGGAGCGGTTGTCGCTGGACCTGCGTGGTGACAGCAGGACTCCACTGCCCGCCCTTCCCAATCCGAGGTCCGTGCCTTCCTCTGGTGCTTAGGAAGAGTTCGCTTTAGGGGTTATAGGAACCTTGAGAGCTAGATGTCGGGGCTGGGGCAAAGAGAACCCCTTCTAGAAGACAGTAGAACGCAATAGGGGAATTAGGGTGAGCACAGGACGCTGGCTCTACTATGTAGGACTCTGTTTGGCCCCGTGTCCAGATGGCCCATCCCTAGGGACTACAAGAACTGGGGGAGTGCAAAACAAGGCGTGACTCTTGGGTCCTGATTCTAGGTTTAAAGTCTAAATTTAACATTTTCAGGATACACCAGCACAGCAGACTAATGCCCCCCCCCAGGTTTATTTCCATTTAGTGTTATTTTTATTTCATTTATCTGCTCTTTGCACTGCAGCTTGGATTTAGGGCCTGGGTGCTGTCCCTTAGCTTTTCTGCCCAAAGTTGGCACTCCAGCTTCACTTCCAGCATTTTTTAGTAGTTAATTGGAGATAGGAGTGTCACCGGCTTTTCTTGCCTGGGCTGACTTTGAACCAGGATCCTCAGACCTCAGCCTCCTGAGTCCAGTTAGGATTACAGGTATAAGTCTGTCCAGGATTTATTTCAAAATGTAGCGGGTGACGGGAACTAAAGAGAAAACCAAGCCAGCTTTCTAAACTCTTCAGCTTCAAAGCCATTGAACTCAGCTCCACATTTAAATGAGGCCCCAAGAAGACCCCCAACCTAACTTCCTTACCTACACTATCACATACTGTTTTGGTCCTGAAATAGACCAGAGCTTTCCCACTCTACTTCCTTCAAAGTCACATAGACTCAGAGCTGCTTACATCCAGCCTTGCGAATTCTGGCTGGGTGCCATGAGGTCCAATTTGGAGGCCTGGCCATCACTCAGTGGCCTCAGAATCTTCTCTACCCCATTTCTAAAGGACCCTGAGGGGGAGGGGGAGAAAAAGGCCCCATCTGGCATGTCTCCCACCACCTCTCTGATTCAGAACTGTACTGCTCTCGCTTCTTCCCAAGTTCCAAAATGACTCGGTCCCTCAAGGGTTGAGCTTGCTTAGCCTTGGGCTGCTGCTATGGATCCCTGGAGTGGCTGTCACCCCTGAATGCTTTGCTTCTCTCCTTTTGTGCTTCTGTCCAGCCTACTGACCCCACAAAAGGGCAATGATGTGGCCAGAAAAATAGGTGCCCGGGGCTACCTGCACTCTAGAGGGTTACCTGCAGAAAGCACCCAAAAACTGAGCGTACATAGGCATATAAGTCCAATGAAAAGAAAGAAGAGAGTCAGTCAGGACCGTGACTATCCTGTAGGCTACGGGCTGGGGTCCCTTGGGGTCTGATCGCTGATCTCTCCCATGCTTTCCTTCCCCTCTCTCGATGTCAGGTTGCCTTAATCTGAGTACTTTATACCCAGTACTTTATCATTTATACCATGGTCTTCTCTGAACTACATACTAAGTGGGTTGA